TGACGACGTGAAGTAATATCAGAAGGTAACGGAAGGGAATTTTATTGGCTCAGAGAAACTTAAAAGTGACTTTAAAAAAAAAAAAGCTAAATGTTTTTCTCTGATCAAAGCTGTTTTTAAGAGTTTCTGTTCCTGTAGTGAGAGAAGAGAGTCGAAGCAGGAAGGCTGAAGAGGTTTAAAAACTCGAAGAGGAAGCGTAGTGCAGGAGGTCGTGTTGCTCCTGGTCTCTGAGCTTTTGAACGATCTGTGAAGTCGTCCAGCTTCGCCGTCTTCCTGTTTCAGCGTTCATCTCAGTTTCACTTCCTGTTTCGGTGAAAGTGGGCCACGCGTCGTCTCCTGACCTTCTCGTGCGACTCATTTTGTTTCTCGACCTTCGTCGAGGCACGTTGCGTGAGTCGCCTCCGTTGTTTCTGCCGACCGTTCTCTGGCACTCCGCTGCTCATGGGCACTTGGTTTGAACACGAGAAATGGAAAAAAAGCTGTGGGTCAAGCAATGTGCTTTAAGGTCGAACGTTTTTGAGAAATGTTGAAGTGTGTGTGTGTGTGTGTGTTGGGGGGGGGTCAGAAGCAGAAGTCAGACAATGCGGCGTTATGGTCAGAGGCTTGTTGAAGAGCCTCTTCATGCCCAGATGTTGCCAGAAGTGTTTGGAGACGTGTCAGGTGCTGGTTTTTAGTGGTGCTTTGGGCTGCGAGGGAAGATCTTCAGACCTCCAGAAGATCAGGTGATGGATGAATTTTCCCACGAGTTGCTGATGTCAAGGATTTCAGGAGGAGGGAAGGAACCTCCGAGCGTGGAGGCTGACCCCCACATGTGTTCGCCTGCCGGTCAGTCTGCAGCCGTGGGGGGTGGATGGGTGCAGAGAACAATGAAGACCAGATGCTCGGACTCTTTCTCCACCTGCTCCAGGACTCTTTAGTGTTCTCCACTCTCTTCATAAACCACCTATTAACCAGGGGGTGGGGGTCTTTCAGCATGTGATCATTTACGATCCAGCGGGCCGCGGCACAATTAGAAAATGATCATCAATGTCATCGCACAAACAAATCCTGCAGGATGACTCAGTTTTCCTTCAAACAAAAACTAAACTAATGAACAAAAGGAGTGAAAACAGTTCTCCGCCCAGCCTGGGACGGGTCAGTGGACCAGAACCTTCTTGAGTCCAACAAAAAGTCCTTCTACTTTTGCTTATGTAAGCGCCCAGGGAGCAATTATGGATTGGGTGTCTTGCTCAGAGACACAATGGCTGGGTATCGAACCTGGGACTTTTGGGTCTCTAGCCGGCTGCCCTACCTCTATCTCAGTGATGCGGTAGAGGTAGGGCAGCCGGCTCGGGACCCAAAAGTCCCAGGTTTGATTACGAGCTATTCCATGACGTGGTGTCTCAGAGCAAGACACCTAATCCATAATTGCTCCCCGGGCGCTTGCATAGCTGCCCACTGCTCCACCTGGGTGTATCTCAGGTGCGATGGGTTAAATGCAGAGAACTAATTTTGCCATTGTGTGAGAACATACAGTACAATGATGACAACACATTGCACTTAATATTATTATTATTATCATCATTATTATTATTATTATTATTGTAGGGAGTGGTGACGCAGAGGTTAGAGAAGGTGGGCCTGTGATCGGAAGATCGCCGGTTCAAGTCCTGGTACCGACAACATCAAAAATGTGGGTGAAAAAAAAAAAAAAAAAACCTACACTAGAATGTCACTATAATAAATATTTCATAATAATGGTGTGGAGAGGATGGCTGTAAGGGGAGAAGGGAGGCCATCAAGAAAAAAAAAAAAAAAAAAAAAAATGTGGGTGGGGTAAGTGAAGCACCCGCACCTGCCCCCACCCTCATTCGTCCTACCCTGGGCCCTTGAGCAAGGCCCTTAACCCCCACCATCTGCTCCTCTGGATGTCCTAGATAGCAGCTCTCTGCTCCACACAGAGGGCTGTGGTAGCTCGGTGGTCTGTGGTTGCATCAGGAAGGGCATCCGGCGTAAAATAACTGCCAAGTCTTCGTGCGACTTAGTTCGCTGTGGCGACACCTGAAGAAGGGAGCAGCCGAAAGGAAAAAAAAAAAACGTTGTTGTTGTTTGAATTTCTCCTGAGTTTTTGTCCCCCATCATGGGACATGATATATATATCGGTGATCTTCCGATCACAGGCCCACCTTCTGGAAATCAGCAACCCCGATCATTTGAGGAAACTTTTTGAATTATTATTTTGCTTAAAAGTATAGCTTACTATAATGATTGGGTTGGTTGAAGATTAATCAGTGATGGTCATGGCCACCATTGGCCACCCCCTGACTGCACCTGGTGGTGGCTAAACCTGCTCCCTCCTCTCTCCAGGATCTGTCTCTCTGCGGACGCTTGGATAAAAAAATCGCCCAAACCTCCCTGTTCTTCTCCACGGTGTACCTCCTACATACCTTGAACTAAAACATGTAGGTTTGCTTTATTCCCTGTTCCATTCCAGTCCAGAAAAACACTCATCTCCAAAACTACAAACATTCACTATTCAAACCCCTCGGGGACCTGGTGGGGACACCGGCGTACCACTTGATGCTTTTGTAACCACACAAACCCAGTCCTCCTGACCAGACCCAGCTCACCCCTCTAAGTTATTCCTCTTTAATTCCTTCTGTTTTATTTAAATCTCAAACTTCATTTTAAAGTTTGAACTCCCAAAACTAAACATTTTTTGTTTTCTGTGTTCTTCTCCTCACCGTTTAAATCCTGCATTCTTTACCTGGAAACGAGCTTCACAGACTTTGAGTTCGGAGAAAGCGCAAGCCGTGCGCTTACAAACGAAAACAAGTTCTCTGTGTGAGAAAGACCTTGGCCCGGTTAGCAGCAGTCCGACCCGGCACAGATAACGCTTCAACTACACACAAAATGCACGGATACTCCCAGTCCCATAAGGCCCCTCTTGTATTCAGTCATACGGAGAGAAAATCCCTACGGGGATCAATGAAGCCGCACATCATTCCTTTTATTATGAGCATAAAGGAGGATATGAAAGAGCGCCTGTGTGGGTTCTTTGTGGCTGCTGCTCGTCTCCTCGGTCAACTCGTTCTGTAAAAACGAGTTGAAATAAAAAGGAGACTATGACTTAATTTTTCAGACTTGAACATCGCGGCATTTTGAGTTTTTGTTGGTTTTCAGTTGGTCCTTTCCACGCGCCTCAGTTGGTGTTCTGATGCACGAATTCAACCTGAGGAATTTAAAATGCAAGGAAAAAGCAGGACCGGTCCAGATTCACTCCTTATTTCTTGATATTTTACTTCCCAATCATCTGGGAGTTCCTAATCCGTACTTCTTAAAACTTTTGGACGGGTTTTACCGTTTTCATTTGGACTCGGGTGCTTTTTTAAAAACAAATTTTCTGTACAATCTTTGTTTGTTTGTTTGTTTTTTTAAAGCCAACTAACTTTGAATTATGACTCGTTTATGTATAAAATGGCTCCTAACTCAAGGATGAACCAGTGTTGTTCACAACCATCCGTTTGTTACAAAGACTCAATTTATTTAGCTGAACTGATTAAAAAATACCAACGTTTGATTCACAAACTGAACAAACAGACGATACAGGAGCCTCCTATTGTGCACGAAAAGACTCGGTTATTTATCCACAAGCTGTCAGATTACTGAACTCTTGACAATCACACCAAGCCACATCTGTGACACCTGATATGTTTATTGCTGCTGCACTATGTGGCTGCATCATGTATGTATCTACCGTCATAATTCATCTCAATGTTTCTCACTTCCTGTGCAGTAACCTGTCACACACCCTGTGTAATTTAAGTTTTGTTATGTGCGATATACATCACGTGCATTAAAGCTTGTATTACTACCTTGAAATACATATTCATACAAATTCATCCTACTTGCACCGTTATATTCTACCATGTTGTTTACAATATTTCTTTTGGACCTTGTAAATATTACACGTCTTTTTCACTGTTTGGTACTTTATTTTGTACCTTTATTGCATGCTTTAGTTTTTATTTTTAAATTTTTTATATATATATTTATTTATTTTAGTGAGTTGAAATCTGTTCTTCTCATCCTGAACATTTCATTGTACTGTTGACCCTGTGTTAACCTGCATATGACAGATAAACAGCATAAGTGTATTTAAACACTTGGCAACTCCTTAAGTGCTGAAAACCTGTTAAGTTAAAATAAGCTATTAAAAAAAACAGGAAACTATTACAACTTTTAAATGTGCAAAATGATAGATATTAGAAAAACAATGTATATGATGAGCTTTGCTCAGTTATGAACATTTTACACTATAAAAATCAGAAATAGGCTCCGTGCTGTGTTTTCATTGTTCAACGTTAAGATTTAGTTTTTGTTAGTTCGGCCTTCAGGATCAGGCCTCCACTGAAACAGACTTCTGTGATCCGGTGACGTTTTCCTGGTTAAATAAAGCTTAAATCAAATCAATCCATTATGAGATTCTACTTAACAAATTTAAGATATTTATATCAGGGGTGGGTCGGCTTTAACACACCTCGGTCCTGTCAGAAATCACTGCGAGGTAGACAGAAGGACAGAAGTCTCGGCTCGAATAGTTTTATGAAAGAGCCTTAAGAAAAATGGGAAATCTGCAGGGCTGACCGTGACATCACATGACTTTTATTTTGGTGGATTTGTTTTTCTCCTTGAAATATTTTAATGAGAATCATCCGTGCAGCCAGAAAGAACGTGGTGTTCAGAAGAACGGGCCGTTTGTCGTCCGTCTGCGGTCCGACCAAACGCAACACGAAACACACAGGCTTAAAAACAACAGACCAGTTTATACAAATTCCTTATCTCTGGACGCCTGCGGGTCGTGCCGATTCAAAAACAGAAACCAGCAGAACTTTCAGAACAAGTCCCAGGGTGTTCATTTATTTATGATGGGTCAGAATCGGACTTTTTCTGTCTTATAGCTTCATCTTTTTAACTTTCAACCAAACATGAGGATGTTAACTTCATTTTTTTTCTGTCAGGAACCATCCGTCCGGTCCGGAGGAGCTTCTATGATCCCGCCTCGGCCCCGGGTCAGGGCTGGCAGTGGGAGTGGGAGAACGACGCCGGCACGTGGACTCCGTACGACATGGAGGTGGCCATCGCCATCGAGAGCGCCCACAGCCGGCAGCAGGCCTGCCTGGACCTGACGCCGCTCGGCTTCTGCTACCTCATCGACTATAAGAACATGACCCAGGTGTGTTGAAAGGTTACGGCTAGGCCCGTCACGATAACAAATTTTGCTGGGCGATTAATTGTCTCAGAAATTATTGCGATAAACGATAATATTGTTTGAAATTTAACAATAATTAATTGTCAATTTTTAGAAGAAATGTTGATTTGTTTGGAGTGCAGTACTTTTTTTTGACCACCTGATGGCAGTATAAAACTTTGATCCAAAGGATGGATAATTGAGCAGTGTGTCTCTTTAAGAAAAATGGGAGGGAGGGCCCGTGACGTGACATGGGCTGACATGGTGACATGGCTGACGCACCGTGATTTGAGCTCTTGAGCATAACATTTTTCACACAAAGCTTTTAATAAAAAAACAGTAAACAAGTTCTCAGCTTCTTTTTGCAGAGGAAAACAACTTTTTAGACGAAGGCACGGGTTTCAACCGTGAATTTTTGGAGCTTGACAAGAGCTTTATTCCTGAGGTCTCCCTGTTAGCTTAGCTCGTAGCTTAGCTTCTCAGCTTAGCTGCTTTTATCGATTTTGGACGGTTAAAACGGATTTTAAAGAGAAAAAAGAAAGGGAGGGGTCAGTGAAGAGCATCGGAGTTGAGCCTTTTATCATTCAGTGTCTTCAGTAGAAAGAGAGAGACGCGAAGAAACGATAAAGCCGATAAATGAAAGAGGTCGATAATTTTCATTCATCATGCGATTAATTTATTTATTGTTTATCGTGACAGGCCTATGTGTTAGTAAAACTTCTGATTTGTTGGTGATGATGCTTCTGAGTCTGTAGCAACTTCAAATTCAAAAAATGTTCCGATAAGTCAGTTTGTGTTCCTGCAGGTGAACAGACAGAGCCAGAGGTGTCGCAGAATCCAGCGCCGTGCGGACCTGACCTACCCGCTAGTGGCCGGCCCGCTGCCTCTACCCAAAGGAGGTGGCGTCGGAGGAGGCGGGGGGCTAACGGGAGCTCTGCTCGGCGTTGGGGTTTCGGGGGCCAGCATGGGAGTTGGGAGTTATGTCACCTCTAATGGAAGTATACCAGTTCCCAGTCTGGGCCAGCCCTGTTCCTGCCAACAGTGCATGCTGGTCCTGAGTGTGAAGTCCAGTATGGGAGCAGGGGGAGTGGGGGTCCAGACTCTGGGTCGGCGCTCATTAACCGTACAGCGACCGAAGAACTCGTCAGCCCCCAGCTCCAAACCTCTGAGTCCATCTAAATCTGCCACACTGGGCCGGGGTCAGCTGCAGAACCTCAGCTACTACCAGACGCTGCCGCACGGCCTCGCCATCACCAAGAACACCGCCACGGCCCGACAGAACGCCCAGCTCTTCGCCCAGTCGCTCGCCGCCCTCACCGTTGGCACCTCCTCCATGACCGTCTCGGCCCCGTCAAACAGACCACCTCCCCCGTCCCTCCCGCCGCCGCAGCCCCCTTCCTCCAACCCTCCGTCCATCCCCCCCAAACTCTCGTCCTCCGCCAACGAGCCGGTGCCGACCGCCACGTTGGTCACCCCCGCCAGCAGAGTTACCACGCCTCCCTCTCCAGTGCCATCGCCGTCGCCGATGGTGATGAAGCCGCAGCGCGCGCCGACGGTGTGCCACGCCCCGTTACCGCAGCGGTCGAGCCTGGCCGGGTTGAGCAGGCCGGCGCTGCAGAGGATCGCCATGGCTCAGTCCAGAGCACTGATTGCATCCGGGTAAGTGAAGAACCACCAACACACTGAACTCTGGAGTTTAAGTTTTACAATTCCAACTGTTAATATTTGCATCAACAAGAGCAACGTTCATGTTTTGAGTTTCTTTATGATCCTGACAATCACACCATCTCTGTAAAGTCCAACCTCCGTCTCCTCCTGGACAGTTTTCCGTACAACAACACAAATTGTGAAAACAAACTCTCACAGCCCTCGTTCAAGCTCAGACATGTGGAAACACTCCCGGTCGTGCACGCCGGGACAAGAAGCTCTGAACAAGTTTACATCAACCACGGTGGCACGGCAGTGACAAGTCCTCAGGCTGAGTCCAGAAACGGGTTCTTTTGACTCCTGATGGAGGTTTCGGAGGCGTCGACGACGAGTATGAAGAAGAACTGCGTCTTTAGCCGTTTCAGCTGTTAATCAACCAGATTTTCATTAAAATATTATTAACATTAATAATATTAAGAAGCTCGTTCTGATGTAGATGTTGCTGCTTCAACTTGCAGCTGGTGTTTGCAGCATTGTGTAAAACATCACAGTATTTAGGACATTTTAAACGTGCCCGTGATGAAAGGTTGGTCAACTTTGAAACCGTTAACCTACAGTTTGGTGTGGTAGTAGTGAGACTGGTTCCCAACTCATTCTGAGCTCTTCATCATCATCATCAACTTTATTTATAAAGCACTTTAACACCAGCCACAGCTGAAACAAAGTGCTGTGTATTTGTTGTTTTGTGCATCCCTAAAACCGCTTCAGGCTGCAACGAGGTATTATGCAACATTAGTCCCGCCTGCTACATGCCGCAGGGCGCAGGCCTGAGCACGTAGCAGGCATGTAAAGCCCCTTATCCACAGGTCTGGTTCTTGTTGTAGCCTGTTGTGTCCGGTTCTAGTGGGACCTCTATTTTTGTGTCTCACCTTTGCCTATAGTTCCCGTTTAGTGGGCGGATTGTTCACCTCTAGTGGGCGGATTATTAATATCAATGCACCTTACCAGCTGGTGGCGGTAGTGCTACATTAAGCTCTTTTCTAAGCACCACTAACATGCATTAGAAGAAGAGCTGGAAAACAACACACAACCAAAATGGATGACCTACATGAACTTGAAGCAGAACCAGCCGCACAGCCCATCCTGGTCGCTGTCCCGCAAGATGGAGAGCAGGGCCGAGGTGTCAGAGATGCTCTGATGGA